AATATTTCGTGCTGTTATCTGATAATAGTGATCAATTTTTCTGTGCCGCTAAAATCAAATAACGATAGTGTAAATTCGCGAATGGCGCAGCAAATGAATATTTACCATGAATCTCTGTCAATCGACATAATGAGCATATTTCATGCGTGGGTATTGATATATTCCAACCTCTATTCGGTGTAGCTACCAAAAAGGGTGAGCGCAGCTATGTGAGCAAAACGATGCGTCGTCGAGTTTAAAATACACAGGGACGGTCGACAGGCAGAGTACGCGCGGATGAAATTATTTGCTGATCATGTCACGATTTTCCCCGCAAATTCTTCAACTCCATACGCCGATTATACAATTAATCTCCACCGTTTAAAAATCTTGTATACCGAGTGGCAATTCCATTTCGTTTCTTCACTATCGAACATATAATTACAAATCTCGATTTGTTGAACTGTATTCCAATTGGACAAATCTTTCTATTTCATTTAGAAGCTTATTGAAAGATTATTGAAAAAGTAGTATTAAAGAAATATCAAATTAATCATTTAATACAAAGGAAGCTAAAAAGTTTTAACCGTCTGTACTTGAGAATTTTTCGCCGGAAAAATTCTTTGAAACTAATTAATGAGAATACATACATAAATTAAGGAATAGAGATATTTTTTTCCAATATTTGACATATTGACGCATCATATGAAGCGTAATATTATATGTAACATTTTATACTATTGCTATATTGAATCAAGTGGTGACTGAGAATGACCCCTCGAGTGTGAAGAGTTAAACAATTAAACAAATCTCAGAAAATCGAATCTTTCAAAATACAAAACCTAAAAAAATTCAAAATACAAACTGATTATATCTTCATTATTAACAGAATATCACAATATTCTTTGATTATTAATAGAAACATTCTTTTGCACTAATGAATATATTTACCTCCTCGATAAACTCACTCCCACGACAAACGGTTCTAAAAAATAAACTAACAAATAAAGAAGCAAAAGCAGCCAATAGCGAAACGAAGCGCGAGGCAAGGTGTTAATACAGGAAACGGTGTCTCATGTGACATTTTTTAAGTCGGTCTATAAAAAGTGAAAAATTTTCACCACCGTTCGCAGTCCAGCGGCGACACTTTACGTACTTGAAGAGAACTCTCGACTGGACGCCGCCGCTGCTGTACAAACAATATTTTACGCAATGTGAGTTTTCCGTGCGGGGCAGGGTGCACGAACGGCGACAAAGTGAGTATCGACTAATTAACATGACTGTTACATAGCGTTTAGTCCCGGTCAAAGGACATCGTTATCCTGGCATTGGCCATTTGGGAAATTAAAATTGAAAAGGCGATTTGACTTGAAGGTTGCACGCTTTCGACCTTTTCCGACCCTTTTTCTTCCTCGTCTTGCAATCAAACGAAAATTAGCCACGGATGCGAGGGCAGCTCGCGGGAGGCAGAAAGAGAAAAAACGAGATAGATACAGGAATCTCGACCATTGCGTGTTTCATCGTTCTCTCTTCCGTGCCTTTTTTCGATTTTAACAAGAGAGAATATACAAAGCGCACTGCTACGCGAGGCGATTCTTTGAGGGTGAAAAAGAGAGGGGACGCCGACGCGGAACGGGAATGAAAAATGCTCCAGGAACATTAAGCCGGAGAAAGAGAAGCGACAAAACAGTCGCCACGAAATTCTAGCCAAAGAAAAATGAATGGCTCTATCTTTCGGTAATTAAGACTACACCGAAAAATAAGCAAACGCATGGAAACGAACCCGGCGCGAGCCTTCAGACGTGGCACAGCTGTTACGCCCCTGAGAATTCAAATAAACGACTTAGGTAGATTAAGCATACAAATCCCCGTGGTTCTTCCTCTGCAAATTCCTATATATGTTTCAGCTGGTCTTTGTATATACATCGTTTGTCAACGTAAAAAGTATGAAATCCTGCGGCTGGTATATTAAATGCGACGAGACGTTGCCTCGGTCTCGTAACGATTACGGAAATACCTAACTGTAATAAGATATAGGTGTAACGGGGTTGTGTCCGTTTTTCAAATAAAAGATAATACGTGTTCAATACAATAGGAACCTCTATAATGTGATAAAAGAATCGTGTAAAAATAATGATGACAGTGAGATTTTCGATAAGAAACTGATAAGAGCTGAGGGCTTACTTAATACGTTGCACCGGAATACAAAAGGGATTTCACGCCGAAATATCGAGAATTCTACTGTATATTTATTAATTTTTAGTGAATAATATTATTTCCATCGTTACCGATGACCTCTTCGTAGTGTGATGTAATTTGTGAATTCGATTTCTGTAGAATGACTCCACTTTGGAAGCTTGAGACGACATTATTCGACAAAACTTTCCGGAAGACCTAATATATTAATGTTATATTATACCTTAATTAATATATTATAATAATATATTAATACCTATATTAATACTAGGGTGGTCAAACAGTCATGTTGTTTTATTATTTAATCTGACGTTTATACTATAGTGTACGTATAAATATTACAGATAAATAAACTAAAAGGCAACAAATTGGACAACACACAGTTCGATGAAATTTAAATAAAAATTTTTCTTTAGACCTCCATTTAAAAATGAGACGTGATCTTTTGGCTAACCTGATAAGTACTTTTTATTCAACAAATTTATGAAGTGAATTTTTTAGTTAACTAATTAGGGTTCACTTTCTTATGGAATACTGGTTATCTTTCTCGTTTATTTGAAAGAAATGTAACCATTTTATTAGACCATTTTTATGGAAAAGTGCAGAATGTATGAGGCAACAGTGTGTATCATCTTTAAGATCATATGTTATTTTATACTAATTAGGAGTACAATATTGAAAGATAAATTTCATCGAATTGAGTCAGTAGTAGGTAGCATCTTTTTTATTCCTAAGATTACAAACAAAATATTTGAAAAGTTCTATTGTGCACTTTAAGGACGATCCACAGTAATGCACTTATAATATTTTAAGCAGAACATGTTCAGTATTTATTGACAATAAATTCACATCATGTGAGTAAATTTAGTTCATAGATATTTCATGAGTAGGTTTTTAAAAGATCATTACAGTGATGTGAATAATTGTAGAATCAATATGACAAGCTCACCGCAAATCAGGAACTGGTTACGACGGATAAAATGACATTTAGTCTCATGAATTATCTCGCTAAGGGGATGAGCATGAATAAAATGTTCGTTACTTGCAAATATTGTAACAATTTCATTGGAGTAAAAATAAATAAATATTTGCAAATATCTCAAACAATTGATCAAAACGAACTTAGAGAACATTATGGATAATAAAATCTTGGGTATATTTTTTTAACACAATTTAAAATCTATCATTTAAATTCTACCAAACTTGAATTTTAAAAATAATTATATTTGAAAGATATGAAAAATGAAAATTTTAATACTTTCTCTCTCTGATCCAATAATTTCTCCGGATCAATGATATAAACACAGCCGTAACTCGTTAAAAATACTTTATCGATATCTCCAAGCATCCAATAAATTTTCCTAGTCCGACACGTACAAGATCACTCATAATTATTCAAATAACAAAGATTTGATACTTTACCGTGCTTTTAAATGGTAAATATAAATGTCCTGTCTTATTATTAACATAAATAACGCGTTTCAATATAGAATGCTTATAATTCCATGTGTTCTAAATATCACATGTCAGATTTTACTTCTATATAAATCATATATGACGAAATAAATAAACAATAATCAGAACAGAGAATGAGCATATTTATAAACGGCATTTTAATCAAACTTTACAAATAATTTTTTAACGAGGCATACCGTATCAAATGGCTTTATTTTTCAAATATAATATTGTATCTTTCCAAGAAGTTTAAATAATTCTGAATAATGCATCATGTAACTCAATCTGCCCTAGTTAATAAGAACTAAAATGTACTATGGTTCTTAACCCTTTACACTTTATAAAAATAAAGTTAACGACAAAATATGTAGGATCATTAAAGTGTAAACTCTTGCAAAACAATTGCCTGACTTATTAAAAAAAATGCCAAAGATCCAAAAACTTTAAGACTTGCAACTAACGCTATAATTAATTCCATTATTCCAAAACCTCTAAAAATATACTAATGCCTCCCCGTAATTATTAAGTACGATACCAACGTAAGCACAGTGCAAAGGGTTAATATAAATAATCTTTCCATTAACGATCATGATAACAATACAATATAAATTCTATGAAGATAAAGACATCAAACTATCGAGCCCAAAACAGGCCTCAAAATAAAATTACATTAAGTTGTAACATAAATAAATTGAATTCTAACGACAGACACCCTCTAACGCACAGACTTCAAAAATTACTTCTTCCAACCTCTCAAAACTGAGTAACAAGAGCCCACTCATGCTAGGGGATCACTTGCTAGCCAGGCTGACAAATACAGTGTTGATCAATCAGTTTTCATCTATCCTTACTAAATTTTCTCATAATAAATCCCCTAACTCTTAAGATTTTCGATCGCCAATTTGCTATTCGTCAATATGAGTACACGCAACCAATAATTTAATAATTTACAATAATCTATTTTCTTCTAGTAAATTCTGATTTAAACTATGTCGTGTTTGGTCTCGTTTTAATCTGAAGAAAGTCACAAGTGCGTCAGTAAAAGTTTCATTTACAAAAAAAAGATCCTTATATACAAATTTGATCATTACATTAATATTGCACCACCGATATCTACCACCACCGAACCGCGTATCAAATTACAACTGCTCGACCGTCAAACTTCACCGCTTGCCGAGGGGACTCGCCGCTCAGTGGTGGGGATGACTACCGGACACTAATCCTGCAAATCGGACCCGTTACTAATCTCGAGAATACTATACCCAGCATCGCGACTTCCCAAATGAACAACAAAAGAGGACACTAACCAGGACAACCGAACTTATTTATGTTACAACCTAACGACAAGGAAGCAGAGGCAAACGACTTACGGCGATAAGGTCGTCCTTCTTCAGGCGTGGACCGCTCGGTGTTCTCGGAGCCCGGGGTAGCGTTGGCGTCGCGATCCTCTTCTTCGGGCGTGGTGCCACGATTGGGGCCTGATCCGGGCCCGGTTCCCAATCCGGTGGGCGACCGACTCGTCGAGCCAGCAGGGCTCTGCGGCGCGACTTCTTGTCCTGATGCGCTGCCAGCACCTCCGCCTCCAACACCTCCGATACCGGTCGTCGCTCCAGAAACGGACACCACCGCGCTACCGCCGGCAGAGGACAACGACGACGGCGAGAACATGTTCGATATGCTCGAAAGAGAGCCGATGCTGGGCAACCCGGAGCTGGTCACCGGTCCGTTTCCGGTCTCCACTTTCAGACACTTGCTCGGCGGAGCGAACGCCGACGGGCCGAGAGGCCTGAATCCACCAAAGGGCAAACGGTGATCCAGGGGATGCAGGAACTGCGGCGGCAAGTGGAGCATATGATGGAGACCGTAGCCCAGGGAAGCCGCGGTGCTGAACGGCACTTGGAGGTCCTTCGAATCAGTCACCTGTGTGCAACGGAATATTATGCGTCAGTCGGGAGAGATCTTTGGGGTTTGACTGTTGGGTGATGATCCTTTGGTTAGTTAAGCTTTGTAGGATTGGCGTTATTTTGCGGGTTTAATAGTTTATTTGGTCTAGGTATGCAGGGTGCTTTAGCTGATTTCTACAATGAATAACAAGCAACAATGTTATAGAGTAATATTCTGATTAAATATCTGTTTATGTTTTTAGACGATAGAACATTAAATATTCACGTTTTTTAAAGTTTTAACGTTTAACGGTTAAACGAAAGAATGTTGAGTAGGATTATCCTAGCATATTGTAAATGGGAAACGTAAGACTGAGAATAAAGGAGCTTTACATTTAAGTTACTTCTGCATTAACTTGACAACCAGTTCTCTGTGTCGAGAATCACGTTGTATTGAATCATGAAGTATTTAGTGCTTTTCTAGGATTTGGGAAAAATCGTGTGGTATCGAATCAAGAGTTAATTGTAGTAGTGTTAAATATTGAATTTTTATTGTATGAACATAGAGTCGTAAGTATTTGATTACAAAGTTATAACAAAAATAGGGAGTTAGAAATTCTGGTTTCCCAATTAATCTTATATGGACAAACCAACTTTTTGAAATTTTGAATTTTTATTTTATTTTTCATCACAGAACATGCTGGCACCACTTGGTAACAAACTAAAACACCCTGTATATATAAACATTATATTTTATAATATATTATATTACATATTATGTTATATATTACACTTACAAACAACGTACATGCGATATATAATTTAAAGAACTGTACAAAGAGATTTTGTCGGTCACCTAAAAGTTAACATTGTCATATCTTTTTGTTTAATATTGCGAATCAAGTATATCGACGAAATATCTGATGCAAGTATATATAATGAGCAAATTTGCAATCAAATTAAAATGTGCATATGCATGTAAAACGAGGAAGCATTCCGAGTGTGACGTTTTCAAATGTAACATCGAGCCTGATGATTCTTATGCGTTCAGTCTTGAAACTCCATTTGCAATGTCTGTGTGATAATTAATGTGTTAATTACATTTAGGAATATTTAAGAACATTGTGTATTTTATTTTTGCAATTAGAAACACAGGTTGAAAGAAATCTTGCTGTGTATTTTTTTATAAGTTTTCTACTTCCTCCGAACACAAAGATAGTTAAATATTTTCAGCTAAATTATAATCTTTTGTCAAAGTATATACAAGAATTGTAGCTGTGATGTAACTTATATAATTTCAAAATTTAGTTAAATCCATAGAAGAACTAAGCTTCTAAAATAAAATTACATTCTCATTTTACAAAAGATTTTAATTTTTACGAATGTCTACAGTGCACTTATATTATTCTCCGTTTGACATGCGTTTGACATATTGTTAGTTTCAATTTTACATATAGCTAATATCAAAATATCCTACCGTTAAATTACGGACAATATGCGTTATATAGACACCAAATTATTTAGAGTAACTATTTACAGAACGGACAATGAAAAGGTATACCTATAAAACAAGATCTACGATAATATAACTAAAAAAATTAACAATTAAGCTGGATTACTACTACCTGTGACATTTGTTCTGCCGATTAGTCGATCCTTTTAAGAATGTTTCGACGAAGACTAAGAAGCTGACCACATTAGTTTGTACAATACTTTTAATAGATGAGAAATTTTGAGTAAAAAAATATGAAGAAAACGCATGAAGCAAAAATCTGAACACGATTTATACTAATATTATTATTTTAATTTTAGTTCCTACGAATTAACAATAATGATATTCTAATTTATTTTAAAATCCATAAATTGGTAAAGATCCTTAATACAGGTATAAAGTATCTTTTGCTTCATTACCGAATTTGTATCTAATACATTTACGGGCCAATCACTATCTACGGATTAATCTATATTTTGTTTATGAATAGATGGTTTAACAGCGACTCTCATGAACCTGATCACTTGAACTTCTGTAGAATGATACTCGGCTATTATTGAATGCGAACCTTATTAACTGAGTCAGGTTTCGACTGCTGGTAATAGGAGACATCTCCGTTAATGTCTCCTTATCCGCCCGAACCAACTCAATTCTACTCGGCAATTCTATACATTGCTACTTTCAAATTTAATTTTTATTAAGTTTTACCTAATTTTAAAGTTTTTATGTATTCATTAAGGTTTATTTAAGTTTAAAGTCTTTAAGCTTTTATCAAGTTGCAATTAAATTTTGGTTTTTTCTTCAACTCCCACTGCCACTGATTTTTCTTGTTAAATTATTTTTCCGAAAAACAAATTATTGTTCATTATTTGTTCAAAGAACACTTTAAACAATTTTTTCTTCCTAATTTTTTCTCGATACCGACATAAAACAACTATAACTTCGAGAAAAATCTTTATCCGCGTATTAAAAAATGATAATAATTAATATTAATAAATGAAATCACAAAGTTTACATTCGACATGTTTATTAGTTTCATATAAAAAGATTTTTGGAACATTGCAATATTTTTCAAGAATTTATTTTTTAAAGTGGGAAGATCCTTTGATATATATAGTTTTATAAATAACAATTATTTTATTCTCATCTATAACCTCCCAACCAAGCAATTATAAATTATTTCAGCTCGTAATCATCACTTACGAAGACGTATAACTTTCGAGATCGTCACTTGACTAAAGTCGATCTCTTCCCTATCGCAGTTAAGACTCAGCTACTTGAATTAGCTAATATAATGTATCTCTAACCCCTAACTTTCTCCAGTATTACCTGGGTTGTTTCAATCTACACTTACGAAATTATGATCAGCATATAAGTAGCTTAGAATAATAGAGCTCAAACCACTGTTCTTAATATTAATAGTTAAGAACATTTCACAAGAGCTTTTTTTCTCGAAAATTTAGAAACAGTAGCTAGACTACTATTCTAAGTCACTAATATGGAACATTTGTTACAAAAGTAATAAGACCATTGTTGGAACAGTTGAAAAAACAAATAAGTTACACATAATTTAACGTAAATCTTTTATTTGTAGACAATTTACGGTTTTTATTTTAAAACATTCATACGCGTTGATAGATTGAAAACATTCCATAAAAATATATTGATCCAAAGGTATATCTGTATATTTATTTCCCATAAAAGTCATTTCCATAGATAATGTATTCGTGTATAGTTTAATTCATGCAGATGTAAGTAAGCTCTGCATTACTTTATTCGTATCTCTGAATCGATTGAAATATAAACTCTTAAATATCTCAATACACGAAAAAGTAGACTCGCACTACGTTCACAATAAACAGTAATTTTACATAAATTACTAACACTAGCCAAAGAAAATAATTATTTTAGGTATAGTTCAATATTACTCAGAAAACCTGACTGTTCTTTCAGAATTATCTTTTATATAAAGTGTTCTACCGTCATTCTTGTAATACCTGTTTAAACATCGTTCTAATGAATCAGTTGATAATAAACGTTCATAGATTAGCTCAATAACTTATTGTACCAAATCACTAAGCAAAATTTCAGCAGCATTTTATCTGCAAATTCTGACTTTGCCTCTCCTTTTCTATCTTCACTACACATTTTATGACAACTTAATTTTCCAAATGACTCGATCACATTGTTTATATATTTTCCAACTATTATCATTACGTCAAACGATTAGAAATATTCTTCTGACTTGTAACATTCATCTTCCCCCAGATAAAATTAAATTCATGTTTAATCCTTCTATCACGAACAGTTTCTTTTATCTTCATTTTACAATAAACTTAAAGAAAAAATTATAAACAAACTCTGATACATAATTTATACCGCGCGAATTTTAATTTCTGATGCAAAATGTATACAGTTTAATAAGTAACGATCGTCTTTTCGCTATCGCGAAAGGAGTGATTCTACGCGAGAAGATAAGTTAAAAACGTCTAATAAAATAACTTTATATCAAAGTGTTTGCGATAAAGTCGACTGTAAATAATCGCTGTCTACACGTGCACTTAACTATGTCTCGATGCAACGGACCTCGTCGTTAAGGAAGTACCCACTATCTCAGATGATGCTTGCGTTTGTTTTATTGTGTAATCGGGAATGCAAAATAAAGCAGGATATTCCTACACGATAAATTTTATTCCTCTATAAATTCTTGTATATACTTGTCGATCTTCGAAGAAAAAGAATATGGCGATAAAAAATTTTATTCGACGTTTAAAATTTCTTTTGTTCGTGTAGAGCCACCCTTTCCTATCCGCCAAATATATTTCATATATTTTGTACATCAGCTAAATTTCCCTCGGACAGCTTCCATTGTTTACAATTCTATACTTTCATTCATTGACGCAGTATCCCCAATTTTTGCGTCAAAAAACATGTATCCACGGAACGGGGCGAATTAACGAAGAACAAAACTCCTGAAAGTGTTAATTAAACACTCTTCAATTAGTCACCTTGTATCCTGTAATTATAAAAGCGTAACGCTTTTAATTAAACGCGCGAATTTATTTTGGATAATAACAAAAAAAGAAGAGAACAATGTACATTCAAGAAAACTCGGTAGATTAACCATAGAAAAATTAACATAAATTCTTTCACACGCGTCATAACGCGACGGGGTGTATCGTTTCATGTTTCGCGCGGTACGTATTGCCATTACAAAGAGACTAACTGAACATTTAAGTGCGAGTTCCCAATATTACGAGTCCTTTCGCGTGCCTTTACACGGAAGCAATCAATTCCTGTGTATTTATCAGGATGAAATGGTAATTTCGTGGACAAAATAATCCACGGTCTCTTTCGCGGGACGGTAAAACGCTGGAAAACGCATTAAACGTTCCAAGAATTTCTATGTTACCGCTGTCTATTAGAGGGACTGGGATGACATTTACCGTGGCCTGATGTTTCGTTATTATAAACGTTACAAAACAGAACTCGTTGATTTCCGTCGAAGCATTCACTATGCCAGCTTAATAAACTCGTCAATCACT